TGCTTTCACATCGCGGAGCACATCTTTGAAGGTTTGTACGGGGCTGAGAACACCTCGTTAACCCCTTAAGTGCCAAATTTTTTTCTCCAAAAATAACCTAAAAGTGCTTTTTTTTTTTTTTTGAATTGTTATTTTTCTAGTATTATACTTAAAATTTGAAAAGTTTATTACGCAATAATCAGCAGAGGCGAAAAAAATATTTGCCAACTAAAACGAGTGCTGCCATCTACGATCAGTGCCGCAAAACTACTCGGACAAGCCTAGCTTGTCCGTGGAATGGAGGGTTACCGGAAAAAAACCACTGGACGAGCTCCACTCGTCCACGGCATTTGTAGCCAGAAAGTGGCCGACGAGCTCAGCTCGTTCAGGGCACTTAAGGGGTTAAATGGGATACTGAACCGAATTTTGAATTTCGCAAAAAAGGCGACTGAAGCGTTGAATCGGACGCTACGAACTCCAAAACAACACTCGTACATTAAATTCTCAAACAGATGGCTATACTTCTGGAAAAGAAGTGTGCGATCAAGTGAGGGCTATGACGTCATCGTCCTCCAGGAAAATTTGAGAATGAGGGGCCTCGTTTCTCTCCTCCTCGCTTCGGTTCATCAGCTTGACGGGACGTAGCGAAGAGGAGAGAAAATGAGAACCGTGACATGATTTCTCTTGTCGGCAGTGTTCAATTGCGCACTTCTTTTTAAAAAAATACGGCGATCCGTTAGAGATATCGCTGTATGAGTGATGTTTTGGGGTTTTGCAGCGTCCCGCCCATCCGTCCAGCCTTGTTCAAAATTTCGGACCAGTATCCCTTTAACCCTGTGCCTAGCAGCCATCTTTTTTGTTTTTTCAAGATGCCAGTGCAGGTTGTTCCATATTACAGTGAAGCTGTTTATGGCTAGGGTTACGTGGATTTTTTATGTGCATCAACAAAAACTTGCATTGCCCTCTCTTTGTCGTCGTTCCAAGCGCTTACGTGCCTATAGTCCGTTGCAACTCAAGAAGGTAGGGCGAGGTTAAGACATGCCGGGGAGGAGGGAGCAGACGGAACACTAATGAGAGAAGGAGGTTTCCCTCCCTTCTCTAGCGTTCCGTCTGCTTCCTCCTCCCCAGCCCGTCTTACCCTCGCCCTGCCTTCTTGAGTTGCAACAGACTAAAGATTCCTTTCCTTCCTCTCACTCGGGGTGGCGGTCCCGTCGTACGTGTCTAGTTTCCTCCGGCTCCTCAGGGTGGCGATAGTTGTCCATGCGAATGTATGTAAAAAAAAAAACAGGACAAGTTGTTGTTCTCCATTTTCAATTTTGCTTCTCTCCTATCGTCGTAATAAGGAGGCCGTGTATAGTTCGGACTCCCGAAGAGGATGCACCTACGAAGAGCAACGGCGGGAACGGCAATGAGAACGTCAGCAGTGGCGGTGGGCTGCAAACACCGCCAATGAAGATCATGCACGAAATGCCAAGCGCATGTTGCAAACCAGACAAGACGACGAACGTTGCTGGGTGGATAACGCATCACAAAGACGCGGGTACAATGCTGCTAAATTGGACAACTTTAATGGAGCATGCGCTAAATTCAAAAGGGACTTTCTGGACAGACACTTTAGTAGTTGTAGGGTGTGTGATAGGCTGTGGTTTGACAACGACTTAACCAACATCGGCAATGTGCGGGATCCTGCGAAGCGGACTTGTGTGCTGCAAGTGTTGTCGGTGACCACTTGCACTTGATTGATGATTACTGATCAAGACAATAAATGTGTCCGTACCTTTGTTCAAAATTCTGCCACGTCTGTGTCGTGTGCTAAACAACTTTGCTAGTCATTCACCTTCACAGTATGGAATGGCTCATGATTTTTTTGCACAAGATGTCCCACAATCAGAAAAAATAGCTGCTAGGCACAGGGTTAATGTGGTGTTCTCAGCCCCATGCAAACTTTAAAAAGTATGCTCCGCAAGGTCAAAAGAAAAAGTTGTTTTGTGCTCAAAAAACCACGTAACAAGATATACCGAATGCATGACTAAGGTGGTGTATGAGATTCCTTTCAGTTGCAACCAAGTTTACATCGGTCAGACAAGCCAATGTTCTTCTAATGAAAGAGTGCGGGAACACAACCTTGATGTACGCAATGGTTTGAGTGGGATCACTGCAAACGGTGTGGGTGTAAACCAATGTTGAAGTGTGCAATGTTTTTTAAAGAAGGAATGAGAAAATGTAAAGGGAAATAATCAAAGCTCTCTGTATCAAAAAAGCGGTTCACAAATGTGTAAGCATCCCATCCCTTTATCTGCTGAACAAAAAAGTTGTGAGTCTTGATGACTGCATGTGATTAGTAATACAAACCTTTATCTTGTTGCTTGGGGGTTTCTATTGGTGATGGTGATCGACAGTTGGTCCTTGTCGTATGTGTGTCTTTTTTTTGTCCTGTTTCAGTTACTGCCTTTCGACCTTTTAAATTTGCAGTGATGTCCGGCTCACGGCCCACTGCTACAAATGCCAAAATAAGGGCGCGTGAAAAAAAAAAGACAGCGTTGCTACGCACTTCAAAAGCGCAAGCGAAGATATGAAAAAGAATGAAAAAATCTGCAACGAAAGGCGGGTTCTCTCGCCATAATATTTGTTGTACATCGTCATCAACAGCTTCACCATATTCATAGTTCCCAGTTTCATGTCTGTGCAACTATGATCTGTGTCATAACTCTTGCATATTCTCATCATCAGATCTAGCACTCTCATTAGTCTTCTAACCTGTGCTAATATATGCACTTTGATTTCTGCCTGGTGAATTCACTGGGTCACAATTATTTTGTAATGCTTATTTACTCTGTATTTCCTCGTTTATGTTGATCTTATCTGTTTTCTGACCCGTGACGTTGTGGACTTCGCGTGCAAAATTTCAAATAAATCTCTAGCCGTCAATATTGCTAAAAAAAATTTTGCATAACATTTATTTTTTGTCACGCACGTCCCAACCAGACTGTCTAAAAAAATCTTTTTTTTTTCTTTTCAGGGGTCATGTAAGGCACTTTTAATACTGGGTTGTCAATGCCCAAAATCAGCTGTTTTTTACCTTTTTGTATGCTTTCGATGTAGACCAAACGGCATAGAGCCATCAATTTTCGTAAAATATTTGATAATACCAGGTCAGCTCCCCCATCTACTTACTGTAACCCTCAGATTAGATAGCTTGCTGTGTCTTGCATTGCACTGTCCTGGCATTTGGAGTTTGGGCTTTACAGGACCTCTGGAAGTATGTCTTTAAAGTATGACTGGGTGTCGATGAAAACTTCTAAATTGATTAATCGCCGCCCTTTAATCAATTAAATTATTGGTTAATCGCAGGAATTGAATAGGCGCGGCAGAGAAGGGAAATTCAGTTCAACAAAGTTCGACAGGGCTCGCAGGCATGCATCTCGCTGTCGTAATTTTGCGGAGCAGCACTGCTTTTAAGTTCAGAGTGACGAAATAACATTCAATTTATCCCTTTTGAATGGTGTTTTGATGTCTTTTCTAGTACAGGGGTGGAACGGCTGTGCCATTTGCGCCATTTTGCGCCAGACGCATATGTCTGCGCCATCCTGCGCCATGTTGCAGAAACTGCGCCACAGCCAATACCTCGCGCCATTATGCGCCAGATCGCAAAACGTGCGCCAAGAAACTTCTTATTTTGTCTTGGTTTCGGTTTTATTGACTCGATTGGCAACAATGAGCGCGTTCAGCCTGGTCGGCCTTGCAATCCTTTGTTCTGTTTATTCTCCCTGTGTATCCCGAGTCGGAAGCACGCGAAAAAACTCGGATTCTAAGCGCCACACCACCTGCGACTGGATTGTTATTCTTCAACCATAAGCGGTTAAGCAAGTCGGCTGAGGTGAGGTCGAGTCGTTAAGCGTCAGATTGCCTGAGGCTCTGCGGCCCGGGATCCGGACGTCAGCCAGTTGAAAACAAATGAGCAAGATATTCCTTTTAGTACTTCGTCGTTAGAAGTTGGAACCGCATTCTCGCAAGATAAATCGTGATTTGATTGAACTGAAACGCGGTCCGATCCGAAACCTTTCCGGCCAGCAGCTCTTTTGCGAGTGATAGATCTGCTCGGCGTACTTTAACCTTGCTCCTGCTTATCGCTTCAAATACGATAACTTCGTTAATCGTAGTCTGCTGCTTCGTAATCGAGTTGCACAATAGGATAAACGCGAAATTTGTTGCCCTGTCCCTCCGTGCAACTGCACGTCCATTGCTTGCGCACGTCACGGGGTTCGCACATATAATTACTATGTCGAGCACGTGTGGGTTGTGCGATAAGCAGTGCTGGTTAGCATTTTGAGCAGCTGAAAGCCGCTCGGAAAATATCAAGGACGCTATCTTGAGAAACAGGGTACTGGCTTTTTGATTCTCATTAAGGCTCACAAAGTTTCAAGTTTTCGCATCTGTTACACTGTTATCCTATCTACCTAGGTCCCTAACCATTCATGTTCATCTGTTCTGCTAAGTACGATTGAAATTGCTCCCGTGCTTGTCTAAGACGCAAGCTGAAGTGCAATGAAAACTGATCTGAGCTGCTCCTAGCCTGCTCCAGAACGTAGTTTTAGCTGCTCCCAACCTGCTCCAAAACAGCTGTTTCAGCTGCTCCCGTGGCTGCTCCCAGGTACATTTCATGAGTTCCACCCCTGTAGTAAAAATATGGCGTCTTCGTAGTGTGGCCCGAACGTGGTTGGCATTTGGACAATAATATAGGCACAAGAATATCTTTGCAGTATCCCTTTAACCTCGACAAATTAGTGCGTGCTGGTAATGTTACAAAGAATAAGCGGAGAGTAACAAAAAGGGTGACGCCTCAAAGACAGAACAGTCTCGTCCTGTGTTTGTCCTTTTTGTTTTGTTTATTCACATATTTTTATGCCCTTAACTTTCTAAATAGCACACTACTGGCTCTATGAGGGAGACTGATTACTGTAAAACTAGATACTAATCATATAGTAACTTCTAATGGCATTTTATTTGTGCATATGGTTTAGGTCGTCCAATGGTCACGAACACCGGAAGCATCGTCACCACCATCATAAGGGCAAGCACAAGCATAAGCACAAGTCCAAGAGGAGCCCAGGTTCAGAAGACTGATCATATTGGGTCAAGAATGGTTTTGATGAAGAAGCTTGCTGGAAATAAAATTGTACTTTTGATTAAATCTGTTTTGTATGTTGAGTATGAGATGGACTGATCATTGATGGAAGGGTTCTATTACCCAAGATTCCATACTACTTGAATGCTTGTGCATCTAGGGTCGTGATAAGATCTCAGCAGTGGGAACCAGTTCTACTAACCTTTGTACTCTGTACTGTCATAGGGAACAAATTAACGACAGGTCCACAGGTTTTGCCAGATGCGAAACAGCCATGCTATTGAGTATCAATTCTTACCTTCCTTGGCTAATGCTCACAATACTGTATGCTACATTCTGCTGTTCAAGTTCACAATATACTGCTTCACTTGTTTCTCTACCTTTATTTTACTGTGTCCTCCAGGTATGCAGACAGATTGGTTTTTAAACCAATTCACTGCTGAACCCAACAGAAAAATCTATTACACTGGATGAAAAGTTGTAACATGCAATAATCTAGACTTGGAAGTAATCCGTTACAAGTAATGGAATTACTTGTAATTAATTACTTTTCTTGTAATATAGTAATTAATCTATTACTTTCCTGAAAATGTCATTTGTAATGTAATCTCTTTACTTTTTCAGTAATGAATTGCTGAAATTACTCGTTGCAATTCTTCCGTCCCATCAAAGGAATAAACAGTGGAAGAAGGGCGATGCAAACCTTCGCGCTTTTAGCAGGATAACACAAGACGCTGGTGAGGGAAAGGAAAGGAATTCACGGAAAGCACAAGAGCCCAGCCAGAGCCCGTTTCTCGACTCGTTCGCGCGGTCAGCCAGGCTGGGAGGATTCGACTGTCTACATGAAGGTAACAGGCTTCGACTTCTTGGAGAGCAAACGAACTGCTTCGAGCGTACAAAGGAGCAGAAAACTAATGGGCCATAAAACCGTTGCATGGTGTTTATGTCGAGTGGGACTGTGGACAAAGTGACCGTGGTGCATATGTCGGCTCCCTTCCTCCCCCCCTTTTCTACTCTCCTTCTCTCTCCACCTTGTCGCCCCAAAACGATTTTTAAACCACGCTTTGCTTGTCAATGTTTTTGCCTACACATGCTCACCCCGCAAACGGAGAGGAAGCTGTTTGCCACTCCAACTAACTATAGGTGGCGCCACTCATTTCCCAAGATGGCGGGTTTAGTGAGGGTCAGAGATGCGTGCTGCTGTTGAGCCTGTCTAGTGTACTGGCTTCACTGAGTGACATAAATTATTTCTGGTAATACGAGGACGCTAATGTTTTGTGATCGCAGGTCACCTCTTTAACCTGAAAACAAGAACGGTGTTTAGCGTATTAATTATGGAAGGATGCGCGTTTTAATTCTTGAGCGAAACCGAAACTTACCTCTATTTTGGATTTAATTTCTCGATAGAGGTCTTAATTTCGGATTCTGTCATGACTCAACATGTGTCTCGCATCGTAATCATTTACTTACAAAAGTTGTTTGCTGAAACTTTATTTTGTGACATGCTGTTCGATCCAGGTTGTTAATTGTAGTTGTTAAAAAAATCTGTGCTGATATCTGTGCGTTCTCGCTGCCTTTTTCTTGCTCAGATAATTGTCATGGGAAATAATGACAATTATCCCAGCACAAGAATAAGAGAATAATTCCAATTTTTACAATATGTCCACGAAACGCATAAACTAATAAACGCTGCTCTCACTGCAACAACCCAAGGTGGAATCCGAGTCAGACAGCTGAAGTGTGTGTGTGTGTGTGTGTGTTTTATAGCACCGCATGACGCGTAGGACTTCATATTACATCCAGCGTTTAACTGTTTGTTTATCTTGATAACTATGTCAGTTTTTCATATGCTAAAAAGAAAACAGAATGATACCTTTCTGGAAAGACTATTATGGTTAAATAGAGTATTCTCGTGATCTTGGCAAAAATTAGAGGCATACATTGCCGCGATTTGTTTTAATAATAATAATATTAAAATTCACATATTTGAATAAGTAATTCTTCAAGCTCTAATAAAATTTGTTGCTTATGATCTAATTTTAATTGCGCAAAAAAATATGACAATCAAAACTGTGCTAATTATCATCACTGGTTCCAATTGCTGCATTTTAATTACAAATAAAATAAAAATAGTCTAAAATCAATGAAAACATTCTAGTTAATGTGAGAAATTCATGTAAAATTACATTAATTGTGGGTAAAGTATATTGTGCTATCAAAGTGGCGACTTTTGACAATCGGCGAAACGTCCAAAGTCGCCGCCAATATACTTCCAAACCAAATGTCCAAAGTAAAAAAAAAAGCTTTTTTTAATTACTAGCTTTTTCATAACATTTATTTACTTTTGTATTTGCTCGCCGTCGTTTTGCCAATCTCAGCCTTTCCAGTTCGAAGGAACGCCTACCTGCTTGCACGTCTGCTCACTGTGGCACGTTTCGTTGGCGTTGGAAGCTGGTGAAACAGTAGCGACATTTAATATTGCGTATACGAGCGAACTCAAGCACTCTGTGTTTGCGTTAGCTTTGCGTGTTCCACACTGCGCGTGCGCGGAGCCCGAAATTGCGGTCTTGGATGGCGCATGGCGATGAGGCGCACGCACAACGTGGGGCACGCAACTCTTACACAAACGCACACCGCTTGCGTTTGCTTCTATGCGCAATACTAAAACTCTCCAGTAAGGTACAATCCCAGACCGGCTGCAGCACTACGTGGGGACAGTGAAGAGTGTTGTTTGCATTCGGAAACAACATTTCGCGAGCCACGATCGCGAGCAGTTCTGCCGTGCCCGCTGAGCAGGAGAATCAGGGGACCCTCACTAGAGCGCTTCCCGTTTCCGCCGCGGGAGGGCGAGCGTCGAGCTGGAGACGCTAATAATGAGACCTTGACCCTGTTCATCCTTGACAGCGCTGTGAAAGCTGAATACTGGCTGGACCAACCATGTGGCTTCTGTCACTTGACTTCGCACTAGCGGATGCGTAGTGCAAAAACATAAGGGGTGTGATGGCAGCAGTTCATTGGAACAAACAAAAATCTAGCATCAACCCTTCTGTCAGTTTAAACAGTAACTTTCGACAGCAGGCAATAAGCTGGTTGGGGACTACAACAAAACGGCTTGGGAGATCCAAGCTGAATCCATACTCTTAGAAACGAGAATGCTAGGGTTCTCATCAGCGGATTGCGCCCGCAGAAACTTTGACAGAAATTTGAGGGAAACACGGCCCCAGTTTTCTGAGAATGAACAGTGACTCACTCGGACACTGGAGTTGAGAAACCGCTTATAATTGCTTGAAAGACATGGAAGTGTGCTGTTCACTGAAAATTGTGCTCATTTAATCATTTTTAAACTGTACAATCAGTTCAGCTGAGAGATTGTGCATTAATATATTGTGTGACATCTTGGTTCTGATAAGTTTGGTGATCAAGAAAGATCAAGTCGGTCATTCGGTTGGATAACAACCTTCATCAAGCGGGAGTCTTTGAAATGTACCCAGATGCAAGTACCACATCTTGGTCACACAGCCGGTCCATTTTAGTAGGTAAACCTATTTAGGCAACATGCAGCAAACATAGAAAAACCATATCTTCAGGGAAATAGTGTTTTGAAGCTCGCTGATGCCAAACTCTGATTAATTCGAATGGTGTGCGTACCTCCACTGCCCAAGTGCATTCGTCACACGTTCATGGGATTTAGATCTGTCCCGGTTGGACAGTGCAAAGCTCATTTATTTCGAGCACCTGTTTAAGTCCTTTAAAACTTTATATCCATTCTCCTAAAATTTTCCACCTCAAACATGCAGTATTTAGTGTCTTTTTCATGTTTCTTTGGAGTAACACAAAAGTAATCAAGTAAAGTAACAAAGTAATTAATGAATTACTTTTTACAGGGAGTAATTTGTAATGGTGATTCATTACTTTTTAGGCCAAATAATTGTAACTGTAATTAATTACTTTTTTGAAGTAATGGGCGGAAGTCTGCAATAATTGGCCATGGAGCTTGAGCTTGTAGGCAGTGGCACTCAAGTAATGAATGTTTTGCCTGGTTGCAGTGCAAGCAGAAAAAAGTTTATACAAAAAAATATTGCATGCTATATATAGATTACAAAGTGACAGGCTCAAGATTTTAGTCACACCAATGGAAAAGAATTTTATTCCTCTCGTCTCGTACAAAACGCGCATCCATGACTTTCGGGCCTTGTGAAGTACAGCACCGCTATGCAAATGCCCCGAGTTCCTCCTACAAAAGCCTTCCCTTTTCTTGATTCTAGGAATGTTAGTGCCACACACACACTCGCATAGACATCGCGAATCAAATCTCGCAAAGGACGCGTTTTCGCGGAGACACCCGTACGACACATAGTAAGACGGCCAGCCACATTCTTTTGTGGGCCCGTACAACTACGAGAGGTGCGTCACAGAACACGAGAAAGAACAAACCCGGAGTGTGCCTACTTGCTACTGGCATCGAGCAAAAACCGTAACCGTCTGCACACTTCTTTAGTTTGTACATTTCTAGCAAAAGAACCCGCGTGAATGACTCGGAAGGTCACACAGCACCCACGAGGAAACACTAAAATAAATAACGCAAGGTTCAACAGCAGAGTAGAGCTACACTAACACAACAACAAGGAAATAAAGGTTGGGTCTACTTTGGGCTCCGGGGCCACGTGCCAGGAGGTACTCGGAAAACAAGTGTCGTGTACGCTCTTGTCACCGACAGAGCGAGAACTGCAGGGAGTATATTTCAAGCAACCGGCCTCCAGCACGGGCTTCATACCTTCCGCTATGCTTTGGCCGTGCACATGTGCTGGAGGTGCACAAGGTGCCAAAGCATTGCGGAGCATTGCCGGAGGCATACGAAGCTCGCGCTGGAGGCGGGAAAACTGAAGCTCTTTCCTGGCCATTCTCACGCCGTCGGTGACCATAGCCGATACGACGACCCCGATGCCGAACTGTGGCTGGTAGTAGCAGTGTGAAGATGCCCGCTTTGGTCTAAGTTTCTGACCGACTGGATCGTCTGCCAATGCTGTTTGGTGTTTTCGATGAATTGCCTCTTTAGCTTGGCAGCCTCCCGACATTTAGCTGATGATGTTTTGGAAGTCGACCTAGTATGCATTGCTTCATCTAGCCTCTTCCTTTTTTCTTTTTTTTTGTTCCAAAGATTGATGCATTGATATGGTAGAAAACTTGAATTTTCAAAGTCTGAAAATGAATGCCTAATTTCCCTTATTCCATTGTAAGAGAGAAAGAAAAAAAACTGCAGTTGCTAGCATTCAGCATTTGCAGAAGTGCCACATGTTTGGATGTTTTACACCAGCTGACGGCGGGTATTTTGCACGTAGGCTATGGCGTTCCCACTGTTTGGGTACAGTCGATTACGCCGATCTGAGGCCCAGATGCACTCTTGAGGAAGCACGCCAGCATCAACCCGGAAGAAGTGATCTGTAAGTGGTGACACAGACACCAGAGTTCTGAGTAGTGATTCTTGCACACTAAGACTTGGGAGGACCCTCCGATGTCGATGGCTTGTCCGGTGATGGTGAGGAGCCACCAGCACTGGTGCCTGCTGGGGAATCTGCCGGGAAAATGGAGGTGTGTATGAGATACGAGGGTAACTAAATTAAATGGAAGGGAACCAAAACTACAAGAGCATTTGGCAGGTAAACGTAAGAATGAAGTGTGCAAATAACAGATGCACTTTTTCTTTTTCAGCCACAGCCTCCAGGATCATATGAGAGTGGGCTGCCGACCCATTCTGTTTAGTCAGTCTGAGTCTTCAAATGGGATGTTATTTTTAAAAAGGCAAATTTTTGATGTGACCAATTCAAAAACATGTTAGTTAGCTTTCACTGATTAGAATTCGGTGCAGGGGTGCTATGTTGCGCTTTTTGCACTTCCAGGAGACTTGGAAGAAGGAAGTGACGTCAACGACTAGAGCAAACGCAGATTGGATGTTGACAGAAGAAAACAAAATCAACATCCAATCTGCATTTGCTGCGTTGTTGACGTCACTTCCTTCTCCCTAGTCTCCTAGGAGACCAAAACGTGCAACATAGCCCCCTAGGTCTAGCCATCGAGCAGTGTTGTTAAAACAACAGTTGGGAAACTCGCCTTGAAACCCGGACTGCCCGCGTCCACCGAGACCAAACTAAATGCGACAACAACGCCACCCTTTAGCGGCGAGTCCAAACATGAAAGTTCATTCATATAACTGCTGCAAAATGGCACTGCGAGATGGCACCACAGGCCCTTGCGCAACTTGACCAGAACCAATACGTGCAGCCGTGCAGCTGCTGGAGTGGACGCAGTGGGAGAAATGGCAGTGTTGCGATCGCCATTAGTTTGGTTCTCAAGTACGGATCTGAGCCACTTTTTCAAAGCAGGCTCTATGACAGTTTCCCCGAGTTGTTTTATTAACGTTGCCATCGAGGGACTAGGGTTGTGAACAGCCCTTGTGCAGCTCCCACAACCCAAAGGGTTATGACAACCATGGTGCATCAAGGTGCTGCAACTCCTGAATATCTCTTGCAGAGATCTCTTCTGGACGCCTTGGTGAAGATGTGTTCTGCGCATATGGAAAAGATGTCTTCTAGATGCAGTGTTAAAAGGTACTTTAACTATACTATTTCAAATAGATTTAGAAAACTTGTACTTTACTTGAAGTACATTCCCTGAGTATGTACTACTTGTACTTTATTTAAAAGTATTTTTCCTGGTACTTTTCAAGGAAAGCACAACTCTTGACTTCGAAGTACATTTCCAAAATTTGGTCATGGTGAAATTAAGCTTCTTCAAGAATGACACACTCCCGTCGTTGGCTTTCCTATAGTCCGTTGCAACTCAAGAAGGTAGGGCGAGGCAGAGCCGTTTATACTGAGAGAGTTTGGCCTTCTTAAGGAGATTTTGACAGTCTGACAACCACAGCAGCGTAGTCTGACAACCGGGGGATGACTACTTCCGTCCGCCATATTGTGGATCTGACTCATAGGAACTCTACGCGATTTCTCAGGAATGAACAAGACAAAGAAGTAACGCCATATTGTGTTATCGCGAAATCCGTTTGTTCTAGCGGCCAACAAGCTCCGCCCATCGGCCAAACTCTCTCAGTATAAACGGCTCTGGGGCGAGGGTAAGACGAACCGGGAAGGAGGAAACAGACGTAACGCTAAAGAGTGAAGGTTTCCCCCTCTCTTTTCCAGCGTTCCATCTGCTTCCTCCTCCCCGGCTTACTCTTGCCAGTGTTGGGTAAAGTACATCTATAAAAGGTACAGTCGCCCAATTTTTTAATAATATCACGCGAGCGTCGACCGCCGGGACGGGCAGTGCCCTGCCGCGGAGAAATGCAGCATCACGGGAGAGATTAAGCGCGTGCGCACAAAGCCCTTTCCGGGGAGCGTCGTCTGCTAGGCTATTCCGCTGATCGCACACAGCCCCTGCTCCGTATGAAAGGAGCGCGTTGCGCCGATTTACCGCAGCCGACGCTACGAGTCATCTTGGCCAGTCCATTGCTAAAAGTGTGTCACGTGGTTTTCCTGTTAGGCACAACTGCACGTGGAAGCACGATTTCACGTGGTAGGGTGACAGCGCTGGATTGGTTTTGATGGCTCGTAGCATTGGCTGCGGTATATAGTGTAATGCATCGTTGCATTCAGCTTGTCGCGTCATCGTATTTTTCTTTTTTTAGTGCTAACAAAGTAAAAAAAAAAAAAAAACAACTAGATTGAACGAGATGACGCGCGGTTTCTTTCACGCCTGAGCAGTATCACGCAAGCAAGCGCTCTTCAGATCTCTGCTTAAAGGCGGTCAGCTATGCCAGCAGATAAGGAACAGGGGCTGTGTGTGGTCAACAGAATAGCCTAGCAGACGACGCTCGCACCGGAGAGAGCCTTGTGCGCACGCGCCTAATCTCTCCCGTGACGCCGCATTTCTCCGCGGCACAGCGCTGGACGTCCCGGCGGTCGACGCTCGCGTGATATTATTAAAAAAATGGGCGACTGTACTTCAAGTAAAGTACAAAGAAAATTAGATGTGATGTACTTTAAAGGGATACTACAACGAAATTTCAGCGCTCATTTTTTGGTCTATATGTGTTCAAAAGAGCAGTATCGCATGGAACATACCAATATCTTGTTAAAAAAGTATCGAAAAGGAATTTTAAAACGAATTAAACGATTAGCAAAGAGCACCTGGTGGATGTCGCTAACGCCTCGTTTGTAATGCTCGTCTAGGAACCTTGACAGATAGTGACGGAGGTTGTCTCGTCTCCGGCCACGACGAGATAAGGGGGGAAGGAGGAACTCCCCTCTTCCTGAGAATCTCTTTTGTGTGTCGCAGAAGTCGCTATTGTCCCCCTAGAAGATTATAGAAGAGTAACCCGTCACTCAAAATTCGTACAAAAGCAGCCGCTTCGGTGGCTGGAACGACTAGGCCATCCTCTCGACGTCAGCCTCCCCGTAGCTTTGCTCGTCTTGAGACGACCTACGTCACGATTGCGTTGGATGTCACGTGCTCTAAGCTGGGCCTTCTCCGAGCGCTTGCCAGAGTGGGCCGTTTATAACGAAACATACAGCCACCAGGATCAAAATACAAACGTGCGATTGTCATTTACGGATATTGTGGATCATATTCAACCTATTTTTGAACGCGACGGGAATATTTCGAATTTCGTTGAAGTATCCCTTTAAAGGGATGCTGAACCGAAATTTGAATTTCCCAAAACACGCAGAAAAAGTGTGCAACAGGATGGTACAAACACCAAAACATCACTCATACAGCGATATCTCTAACGGATGACCGTATTTCTCAAAAAAGGAGACGCATTTGGCAGGAATGTTGACGTCATGTTTCTCCGGGAAGGAGAGGGAACGGCCTCGCGTTTTCTCCGCCTCGCGGCCTTGAGGGAGTGAAGCGAAGAGAGGAGGAAACACGGTATATTGACGTCACGCGCCTCGTCGGCCTGGTTCAATCTCGGCCTCTTTTTCCAAAAATACGGCCGTCCATTCGAGATATCGCCTTGCAAGTAGTATTGTAGGGATTGTAGCGTCCCGCCTACATCTCCTGCATTGTTTATTTGAAATCCAAATTTCGGTTCACCATCCCTTTAAGTAAAGTACTAAGTACACTGGGTGCAACATACTTGAAGTAAAGTACTATAAATACAATGTACTTTCAAAGTACAAGTATATTAACACAATCATTCATGACGCCCTTTCAGTCACCTATACCGTGATGTTTAACTGGTATGCATTGCCCAGGGTTAATCAGGGATGCATGACCTATTTTCAGAAACAGCGGCGAATATTTGATAAAGTCAAGTGGCCACAGAGTTATTTTCAGAAATGGAGCCAAATTCACAATAGGGCACCCCTTGCACTAGATTGCTGCACCCAGGGGGGTTAACTAGGAGAGAGCGTGAGATTGGGGTGCGAAAAAATTAAGGAACTTTCAAATAGAAGGAAAAGACAAAAGAGAATCTCTCAAAACATTGTGACGTTCTTTTCTGTTATCTTTTACTTCGACTTGAAAATTTAATTTTTTTTTCGCATCACAATCTCAGGTGCTACAATATGATTAATTTTGCTATCCTAATATTTGAAACCTCATCGCTTGCGCTGACCGATCGAGAAGTAGCGATAGTTCAAAAAGCTACGGGAAAGCCACCCCCAGAACTAACGGAGCGATGCGTCGTCTGCTCACGTTTCTGGTAAGAGTAGAATATCCCTCCCAGTATTTCTTCGGAGTTGACAAAGCATCATTTCGTGATACAAACTTGACAAAACCAAATTTGGGGAATGTACCTTGAAGTCGGGAATTGTACTTTACTCGGAAAGTACCAGAAAAAAACAAAAACACTTTTAAGTAAAGTACAAGTTCCCTAAACCTATTTGAAGTAGTACTCTAAGTACAATGTACTTAAAGTACTTCCCAACACTGACCCTTGCCCTACCTTCTTGAGTTGCAACGGTCTATAGTACTATACACCACTTCTGAGGTCAAGTATAAGAGTTCACCAACCTTTAACAAGAAATGGTGTATAGTCATGTGAAAACACACCGTCGTCTTTCGAGACATCGTGCAGTCATTTTTCTGAGTGAAGTAATGGTGGCTATAAGACCGATACAAATATGTGCCTTATAAGTTGATTGTGCTAAGTAGTTTGTAAGCGAGAGTGAAACATAGAGTTCCTCGATATGCTCCCCCTTCGGGGGAGCATATCGAGGAACTCTATGTTTCACTCTCGCTTACAAACTACTTTCTCTCGCTTACAAACAACGCCACTTTGCGGCGACAGTCTCATGCAGCTTATTACAGAAAAAAAGCTAATCTGAGGTGTGGACGAATCGATTTGTCGATGAAACAATCTGTCAATGAAACATTGTGTTTCAATGAAAAGATTTGTCGATGAAACGTTGCTTGATGAACCGATTGCCACCGTATTTATAGTGCTTCAAGTACATTGAGCCCAATGTGCTTATTACACTACATGAAGTGCATACTAATCTCCCATTTACATTTTACTTTGCACTTTACTTAAAGTATTTTTTTAGATCTGTACTTTACCCAACACTGTCTATACCTGCTTTCACCTCAAGAACCGTAGTAAAACAAGTCAAACTCCTCGTGGAGCATTACTAATTTCCCCCTTTGTATTGATAATTAAAATATATGTAGGTGAATCTTAGATTAGATATGTTATATCTTATCAAGACGTACACGTTCCAAACGCCAGAAGCATCGCGCTTTTTCCTCCTACAACCAAATTCGTAAGAACTACTTTGTGTCGCGTAAGAACAATGCGGAAAACTTGTTTTTTTCTTGATATGAAAACGGGTATAGGGCATAGGCGCCGACTACGAGAGGGCACGGGCCCGAACCCCCTCCCTCCTCGAGCTCTTTGGAAAAGCAAGTACCATCGCCTCCGGAACCTCTGTGTGCACCTCATTAATCTCATCTTTGTGCCCTGGTGCCCACACATATCGATAGCTGGCGCCCAGTGGATAAATAGAAATTTATCCCCCTACTGTGGATCACTTTTTTCAACTATTCACGCAGTCCTGTTCAAAGACCCTATGAAGTAGTAGCAAATGCGATAAAAGCTACAGTGCTGAAAATTCTTTCGAAAGCCATTGGAAGTAGTTGCGAATGCCGACAGTGGCACCTCTAGCGGACCTGCAGCCTACGAAACTTGACAACATAATATGTTTTGTAAGCCCCATTTTTTTTCCCCAAACTTTGAAACAATAGAACGATCTCACCAGCAAGCAAAGAGCAGGCTAATCGAAGCAAGTGTTAATGACTGTCTCACGTCGATAGAGTGCAATTACGTCTACACTATGCTTGCGCGTGTCTGCGAAAAGGAAAACACGCCAGACACCACTCGTCTGCCTTCTTGAAATGCAGTTTGACTACGCCACCACTGCCGCAGTGCATCGTGGGAACTTTAGTCTTTTTGCACGTGCTATAACCTCGCTGGAGCACTGCGCGTGTAAAGCACGAGAAGGCACGAGCCCTCGCGTGCTCGGCCGTCTGCCTCCTGAGGACTAAAGTTATGGCGGCATCACGCATGCGCCGAACGCTTAGTGAGATCGGTCTCTTCGTTAACGTCAGTGCGCTTGAACTACGGAATTCACTGATCACAACTGCAATGACGGCTAAATTATAGGGTCACAAAAGCAGACATTTGTTTAGGTATCAGGCCGTCAGCATGCTTATCCTACGTTATCCAAGGGATTACACACGTTTGGGACGTCTCGTGAAAGAGACGTCCCAAACGTTTCCCGGGAAAAGGGGAAGGGGGGAAGGCCCCCCCCCCCCCCCCCCCCCCTTTCCCGGGAGGTCTAAGTGAAGGCGTCTTCTACGAAAAAGTGTCTAGACATCTAGGTGAAGATGTCTAGAAACAAAGTCCTTGTAGACGTCTTGAGTAGACCAAGACTAGCTCATTTAAGAGATATATGCGATGTCTTGTGCAATACTTTGGTTCTCAAGGTTTTTAATCGCGTTCCAAGTCAGGTCCAGCGGCTTGATGCTTACCGCTGCAGGACAGATTCTGGAAACTGCAGGGCAGGGACGCGGTGCTGACGTTGGTGGCGCCCTCCTCGAGTATGTCCGGGAGGGCGTTACGACGCCCAGTGCGACCTGTCTGCAGGAAGGCGTCGAAGGCCGGGGGGCCTCCCGCGCTGGGGTCTGCCGGCTGTTGCTCCACCTCCATGCTCCTGCCCGCCGCGGGGACTGTCGACGATCGGTCGACTGGACCTGGCTCGGCGGCCCGGGCTACCCTGTGGTTGTGCAGAGTGAAGCCGGAGTTTAATCACCGCTCCTGGACTCGATTCAAAGGGCATTACGCGAAACTCGCACGCTCCAACGAGCAATGGAGCCACATGGGGAACGATTCGAAATGTAACTCGAGACGCGCAGCACACTGCCGGCCTCTCGGCACGTTCACGCATGTGTTCTGCGTCCGTTCACATTCAGGTGGTTCCAGCAGTAGTAGGGGATCGTAGATAGGCAGTTTTCAAGATTGATTCGGCAACATGGTCACGTATTTTCTATAAACACGCGGCTTCCAAAAGCTGTTCATTATCATCATCGTCATCAAACCACAACACAAAAAATGGCGATTCCGCGTTTTATATATTTCCCCTCGCATATCTCAAACAAAAATTATATTAAAAGGAACACACATATATATATATATATATATATATATATATATATATTGTGAGGACAAGATGAGCAGTTTCGGGGACAAATTTATTGAGCGACTGCTATCGGGAAAATCCAAGCACGGACGTCCGTGCTCGAGGCGATCAGAAAAAAAAAAAAAGAAAAAAAGAAAAGAAACAAATTGAGAACGGCAGTGATGATCCTATGTGTTGATCATAATGAAGATGAAGTGGGTGTTGTCCTTGGGCGCCCTCTCAATATATATACATGTCTATAAAATTCGCGGTGTCCAGTGCTTGCCGACAAAGTCGTGTCCACTCACTGTCCACTGATCTCTATGACAATTGCTGGATCGCGTTTGCCCGCTCCGCGGGCTCCGCGAATGCGGTCACTGGCGGCCATCTTTAGGTAGAGTTATATCACCTCTAGCCAGTGTAAGCTGCTGCAGCCGCTATCATCCATCCATGGCAGATAGCGTTTTGGCAGGTGGGTTGGCAGGCTGCGGTCAAAATAGCGTGGGTGATATTGCGTGCTTGATTAAAATTATTTGACGAAACATGTTTTTGAAACCCGGCGTGAACAGTAGTCCGGTTTCTGAGGACCTGGTAAAAGTTTCACGAAATCGAAGCACCGGGAGAAAAGCAGCGCAGCACGTATGAAAAGTCGCGTCGAAAGAAGCATCAAAAGCAGACGACGGTACGGAGTCTGCTTTTGATGCGAGCTGCGCTGCTTTCCCCCGGTGTTGCGCTTTCGTAGAACTTTTGCCGGGTCCTCAAAGATGAGGCTACCGTTCACGCCGGGTTTCAAGTATCTGCTTCGTCGAACAACTTCAATCAAGCACGAAATGTCACCCACGGTACAGTGTACTAGATCTACGGCTATTTTATGGCAGCCTGCCGCCATTGCGCTGTCCGCCATATTATTATGATGGCTAGAGATGATATAACTCTACCTAAAGATGGCCGCCAGTGACCGCATTCCGGTCCATAGGAGGAGCTGGTCAAACGCGATCCAGCAAATAGACATAGAGATCAGTGGTCGTGTCCGAGATTTTTCTTTATTTTTTTGCTACGTTGTCTAGGCATGGCCTCCGATATTCCTGTTCAAGGAAATCATCAAATATATTAGCTTCCAGTACCCTGCACTGCTGCGCTACAGTGTGCCCGAACACGTGGCTTTCGACTCTTGCGTACCGTTCACGTGCGCTCGCGCGAGTAGCTTTGACACGTTGCTATGACAGCACTACGGAAACTAGCCTTGACACGCACACACGCAAAAAAAAAAAAAAAAAAAAAAAAAAAAAAAACAGTTGATAAAATCGACGCTTACAAGTACCGCCAACCTTTGTTGTGGAAACGCGCAAGACACGTGCCACGAGCGGGTGCCCGGTTCCACCGCCATTTGCTTCCAAGGGCCGCTCATTTCAGTGTTTTATTGCCAGTTGCTTCCAAAGGCTGCTCGGGACACGGGCCTCGTGCACTGTCGCCTTTGACGCAACTTGAAAGAAAAACGCCAACACATCGAGGGGCTTTACAATCACTGCGATAGCTGCGACACGTCACGGCGAAGTCGTTGGACATCGGCGTCGCATTCATGCTCTGAACGTTTTTGTTACATTTTTTTTTCTTTTTCTGGAGCATGTGAAAGTGCCTCCCGGCACGAGCGCTTGGCCTTGACACAGCTACAACAACACTGTAACAACACTTTGTCATCGTCTTTTTTTTTTTCTTTTTAGAGAGAGAGACAGAGCGTGCAGTACAGGGTGTCACAAAAGAAAATTTACACGGTCTTTTTTACCGCAAAAATAAACTAGGCATCGCCGAATGCTCATTCTCCGCCCAAAGGTAGAGCTAGAGGTCACAACCAGATGCCAAAGTTTCAGCCCGATCCGATAACTTACTCAAAAGTTATAAGTGATTTTCTGAAAATTTCAATGGAAAAATAAGGCCCATTTTTGCCCGTTTTCGGTTTCTGGTGCCATAGAGCCCCATGTGTTTGAAAACTCCGTCGGCCGCCATTTTCCCATTGAAATTTTCAGAAAATCACTTATAACTTTTGATTAGTTTATCGGATCGGGCTGAAACTTTGGCATCTGGTTGTGACCTCTGGCTCTACCTTTGGGCGGAGAATGAGCGTTCGGCGATGCCTAGTTTATTTTTGCGGTAAAAAATACCGTGTAAATTTTCTTTTGTGTCACCCTGTACTACAAAACCGATTACGGCGGGCGATCTTTTTTGAGGATTTCGCAACATCGGCGACGGACATCGCCAACAGCAACTACTACTACCACAGCATCAACTAGAACTACAACATTAACAACGGACGTCATTTCCAGTGGTGGGAAGATCCCATAGCGCTGGGAATGTAAATCTACGGGCCGCACGCGCTCGCTTCACCTGCGTAACAGATTCGGAGTAAATAACGAAAATAAGGCGCTGACCAACGAGCGTACAAGATGCCATTTGTTTTAGGCGTTTGCTTTAGAACAGTTACTGCTGCAGACACCAGCACGCGTAGACTCACATTCCCAGCATTCTCCTTGATGGTTTTGGGTAATTTAGCAATAGGTCTAGTGTTAAGACAAATCGGGGTTGTGTGTGTATTTATACAGCGTGTAGTTCGTCAGCCATTTCAAAGTTGCGACGAGTCACTCGCTGTAGATGAGCAGTTTAGCCAGTGCAGTACAACCGCAACACGACCGCACGCCGGTACGATCCTCATCTAGATCGAAACAAGGAGGGCTCTAGGAGGGGTGGGGATTGAGCCCAGGATCCCTGGGTTCTGCAGCGCGAGCTTTCGCTCCACGTGCTCCGAGCTGGTGCGCGCTAGCCCACTTGGCCACCGCGGCATTGCGCTTTCGTAAAATTTTCCACGTGTTCATAACGGCAAGTCTCAACGGTTACACACGGTCTTAAAAAAAACTTCTTTGGCGAATGATGACGAACAAGTAGAAAACGTGCCTGTAGCACGCTGCCGCCAGCCTCTGCAAACCTAGCAAGACCGCAAATCGTCTACGAGCAAAATGGCAGTCCGGTGGCTTCACCCGCGCTGCAGCGAACAAGCGGGGAAGCGCTATCCAGCAATTGTCATAGAAATCACTGGTGCAAATAGTCAAAACGTGATATAATACCAAGTACAGAAGTTGTGAACATAATGATGGCCTGCAGTGATGTACTAACAGCAAGTATCAGACGACACTTCACAAAGCAAGACAAAAATGTGCGGTAAAACGCGAAAAAAACAAACAAAAAAACACGAATACAACGCCTTCGCCAGGAGGCGGAGGGAAGAGAGGAGCGAAGATTTGAGGCCTCCCTTATGGCGGCCGCGTCACGTGGTTCCAAGATGGCAGCGCCCATGCGACGGATGGTTTAAACTGAGAGAGTTTGGCCTTATTCTGACAGCCTGGCAACCACAGCAGCGTAGTCTGACAGCCGGGGGATGACTACTTTCGTCCACCATTTTGGGGCTCTGACTCATAGGAACTCTGCCATTTCTCAGGAATAAAGACGACAAAGAATTAACGCCATTTTGAGTTATCACAAAATCCGCTGGTTCTATCGGGAAACAAGCTCCCCCATTGGCCAAAATCTCAGTATAAACCACTCTGGCCTATAAGGCCCGTTCACACTCTTGCAACCGAGTGCGACCGAGAGAGACCAAACCGGTTTTTAAGTTTCTTGCGATCTCTTAGGACCAGCTCCGCTCAGTGCATCCGGTCCCAAGAAGTCTTTCTCGGTCGTACTCGGTTGCAAGAGTGTGAACGCGCCTATAGATGCCAACAAACGGGCCGGCATAAGTTTAAAGCATGAGAAGTGCTGCCAGCGCTGCTATACGAGTAAGAACGCGCATCTGTGCTCCTTGCTTACTGGCGGCCATAGCTGTGTGCGCGAATGCTGAGCGCGTGTTGACGGCGAGCTTCCACAGCTCTTTTGCAACGTGCATTCCGCACCATCAAGAGTGCCGGTCTTAGCAGCCTATTGATGTGAGCTCGTTCTGAGCATGCGCTCTAAACAGCACCCCCAGATATGGCCGTCCAGTGAATACTCCCTATACTCCATCTCACAAACGTCTGCAGTACATACAAATGAGGCACGGACACGAGCGCGTGACTTTGAAAAGTGTCTCCTATGCAGGAGTTCTCGTACAAACAAAAGTATTTCTGTTGAGCTAGTCTCATGGGCCTTTGTCTTTACTGCAAGCAAAGCCCTTTGTTTTGTGTTTGTCTTAAAGGGATGCTTCAACGAAATTTGAAATATATCCGTCGTGTTCAAAAATAGGTTGAATATGATCCACAATATCCGTAAATGACAATCGCACGTTTGTATTTCGAGCCCACTCTTGCAAGCGCTCGGAGAAGGTTTAGCTTAGAGGACGTGACATCCGACACAATCATAACGTAGGTCATCTCGGGACGAGCAAAGCTACGGCGAGGCTGACGTCGAGAGGATGGCCTAGTCGTTCCCACGGTCGTTCCAGCCACCGAAGCGGCTACTTTTGTAAGAATTTTGAGTGACGGGTTGTTCTTCTATAATCTTGTAGAGGGACAATAGCAACGTCTGGGACGCACAAAAGGAATTCTCGAGAAGAGGGGAGTTCCTCCTTTCCCTCT